GATAGATAGATAGATAGATAGATAGATAGATAGATAGATAGATAGATCTCTCCAAGTCCTCCACTCCTGGACAAGACCCACCTTGGCCTGGCTTGAGGTGCCGTGTGCCCACTTTCAGGTGCTTTGTTCGGCCCAGATCTTCCCCCAGTAAGTAATACCAGCCACAAATTTTCTGAAGGAAGGAAAGAGGAAAACAACAACAACAGCTGTAGGATTTACACTCCCTCCTGTTGGCTGTTAAATGTGCTACTAAAAAAAGAAATCCCCATGAAAGTATCTGGACAGAGAACTGGAAGGTTTTGGCCCCTAAAGTTCTACACACATCGTACTCAGACCTCTTATATAGGCTTGGCTTTCGAAAGAGGCAGCAGAGGGCAGTGTTTGCCTACCAGCCTCATTTCCTCCAATTATACTGTAATTATACAGTATAATTAAGCAAATGGAAAAGGTAATTAAAGTACCTCAAACAAATTCCATTTGCTTCTCTGAAGATCTCTATCTAGATTTTTTTTTTTTTTAAGATATCTCTATTAAGGTTGGTGATAGCTTTGAGAATTTTAGAGGGGGAACACAATATCCTTTAACTTAAAATATCAACTTGTAAATTACTGTTAAGTTACTGGCTTCGTTTTTACCAACAGGGATGTCATTTTATGGATGCTGCAAGGGACCCTAGTTTGAATCCAGCCCTGCCAGGAAGGCAGGAAGGCCCCACCCCATCGTACAGGGATCGTCCTATTGCTCTCAAGGCCTCCCTAACACGATAATACTACGACTAAGCCCTCTGAAAAGTTAAGTCCCTTCTGAGCATTTCCGGCAGATGGAACCGTGTCTCCGGAAAAAGATTGGGAGCAAAGTCACCATTCTCGGCTCACAGCTACGACTAAACCACCCCTTTCTCCACAAGGCAACCATCCTGGTTGGGTTCCCCACCACTCTGGGCCCCGGGTACCATCTCTACCTTCTCTGGACCCAGCAAGGTCTTCACACCGAAGCTCATGCAGCCAAGGAGTCTGCTCTGCCTGGGCAGGAAACAGGGGAAGGGTAACAGACAGCACAGAAAGGAGCCCCTTGGGGGGATGTGGGGGGGCGAGGGGAACCCTTTTGTGATTGCCAGCAGGAGCAGCGGCTCTCTCGGTCATCTTGCTGCCCTGCTCTGCCCTCTGACCCTTCCCTTGGTGACGTTCACCCTCGGCACTGGAGGACAAAGGCCACCGGCCCCGGGCCAAGCGACATGCCCGAAACCAGGCTGTGCGCGCGGCTGTGTGACGGGCCTCATCCTCCGGGTTACTCTGCCGCCTTTTACCTTGAATCCTGCGGTCGGTTCCAGACTGTGACCAAAAGGCGCTTTTGCTTGTCTTCCTCCTGCAAACAGCTGGAATGCGGCAGAGAGAAAGTGACCCTCAGCCCTCGGGAATCACCCTCCCTGGGCTTCCTCGCTCTCTCTTGCCACTGGCTGAAATCCGGAGGTTCTCTGCCTTAGGCAGCCTTACACCCTCCGGGGCGTGGGTGGGTGTCTTTAATCCAGGAGCCGCGCTTCGAACCAGAAAGGGGGTTGTGCATCTGCTCAGCCACAATGCTGCCCTACCTCTGGAGATAAAGCACTGGCTGCAGCGTTCTGGCTATTGAAGGATGCCACTGTGCAGGAATCCCCTTGCTCCGGCCACAGTGGAGATTCCAGCCCCAGGGAGAGGAGGAGGGAAAGAGCCCCCGGGAGATGCACCATCGACTTCCACGCGGAGGGGCCCAACGCTGTGGGAATTGGTGGGGGTGGAGGTGAGGGGTGGGCAGCAAGTCTTGATAATCCACCCCGTACTCACAAGATAAATTGCTCGTGGAAGACAGGGTTTTTACTGCCCAAAATGGTCTTGGACTTTTGCCTGCATTTCCGCGATGTGTCTGGCACAATGGACACCTTTGTTAGGAGAGGAGGAAGAAAAAAAACAACGCAGTCAGACTTTTTTTGGGGGGGGATAGATCACACCCACACCCACACCCACACCTGAGCTGCAACAAGTGGGGTAATCCTGCGGATTCAAGCACGAAAGGAATATATCCCACCCCCCGCCCCCCCAAATGCAATGCTCCTGGGACCTTCCCAAGTTGTGCACTAGGTTGGACGGACACGGGAAAGAAGACCGGAGAGCAAACCGGCCTCCGTTCTCTTTCTCTCCAGGCGCCCACATTTCCCAAAACTGGAGGAAAACAGGTTAACCAGAGGAGAAGCAGAAAGTCCGTCTGGCCACAGAACAATACAGGTACTCCTCACTTAGTGACCACTCGTTCAGCGTTGGTGATGGCACCGAAAGAGTAGCCCTCAGGCCTTGGAGTTCCAGCCATTGCACTCCCCCCGCCGCCTTTCCACGGTCCTGTGTTCGTTACCTGGCTGCTTGGCAACCGGCGGTGGTCACCGGGCCGCCATTTGCGTCCTTCCCACAATGGAGGACACTAAAGAGACCCCTCCTCCGAAGTGACCTCCCCCAACCCGGTCCTCTTTCTGGGTGACCACGGCCATACCTTGACAAAGGAGTCGCACATTCGATAGTGTTTCCCCATGAGACCTTTGGCTTCCACGACTGAGTGCGGTGGAGAAAGGAAAGAAGAAATCGCGCTTGAAACAGGAACGAATGGAAATAATTCTATTTTACAGACAGCAACAGTTACAGCGATCGTTACACACACACACACACACACACACAACTCCTCCCTGGTCACTACTTTCTGCCGGTCTCACCCATTCGGTTCCTGCAACCCAGTGCAACTCTCACCGCCCGATATAGGAAAACAACTGGCATGGACTTGGGGCGCTTCCTGTATTCCGCTATACTTCCCAAACGCACAATTGTCTCGGTCCACAAACTGCCATTCTGCGTTGCAGAATCCGGACTTGGCCACCCTTAAGAGCCGCCAGGGCGGAAAGAAGAACATGGGTGACGAGTACGCCTGCTTACGAGGCAAGGTGGATTGGTTCTGGAAAGTGCCATGGGCTTCCCCCAAAAGGAAAGCCAAGCAAGTCTTGTCCTTCTGCCAGGGCATTCAGCCGTTTCCACAGGAAAGAAGCATCGGCAGCCTTGTTTTCCCCACTTGGCACATGACCTGCCACATAGAGACGGGGTCTGAAGCCCCACAGAACCTCGGAAAGTGGGTGGGTGGGTGGGGGCACCACTGGCTCCTGGCTAACAAGGGCCTGTCTGGTCTTCGACCAAGTCAGAAGCATAAACGGTTGGTTGGCAGACAGCCCCCCAACGCCAAATCCCCAGCAGGCTGTGGTGTCCCATCCAAGCGCTTCAGGTTTCCTCTTTGCTTGGGCAGGTGGGTTTGTTACTTCTGTGCCCCACCGACTTACCATGAAGTTTAAGCCTTCTGCCTTGCATGTGGATGGAGAGCTTCAGCTGTCCTAGAGCAGACAAAGAAGGCGATTGCAAAGTTGCTTTGTCTCACACACACACACAACACACACACAGCCTCTCCCTCAATATTTCCCTCTTCCATCAGTGAAACAGAGGTGAGTTTCTTCCCCCCACGATGCTCTCCTCGTGCCTGTTTACTTTAAATGCCTTATGTTGCCCCACGCCAATTTGTGGCCCTTAAGCAGCTTACAAATACACGCAGTCCTTGTTCCGCAACTGTTCAAAGTTGCGACAGAACCAAGACTGGTCCTTCAAGAGGTACAGGCTCCCCACTGGGTCTCCACCGGGCTGCTGGGAGAACCGCAGTTTCCCGAAAGGGCTGACAAGGGCAGGGCTGTCACGGCTGCCTATGGCTTTGTTGCCCAGGGGGACGATGCAAAGAGTCCCTTGGGGGTCTGGGCCTCCGGGAGCGGAGGGAGACAAGGATGCAATACGGAGGGACAGGCGGGCTCTTGCAAGACTGCACAATGAAACAGGGACTAAATCACCACCATTGCCTCGCCCCCCACACCTCACCCCGTGGAGGACTCACCAAACGTTGCCAGGCAGCAAGGAAACTGCAAACGGTTAGCTGACTTGGCACAGAGAGAGCCTCGGTGGGAAGGCCCGGGCTCCATGGTTCCCCTCAGCTCCTTAACTGGCAGGGAGACCAGAGACTATTTTCCCAACGGCCCAACGGAGGCCAGCGCAATTTTTCTCCCAGGCCGCTGCCTTCTAACCGCCACGATTTGAACAGGAACGAAAAGCCCATTGGCGGATTTGAAAGTCAATCCGTACCTGACGGGCAACAGCGACACGCTTGGCTCCACACCTGACACGCCGCCTTGCCTCCAAACTGCCCTCCCTCAATCGCTCCACTCCCGAGGCTCTCCTGGCAGAGCTCTTCCCCGGGCTGGAAAAATGCTCTTCGGCAAGTCTTTCTCGGCCACCGATGCACATTTGCCCTCAGGCATCCGTAGACCGCAGATAGTAGAAGGAAGTTTAAGCATAGCACATAATCTGGCTTTAAAGCTCGTTTGCTCAAACACTAAAGCTAAAGAAGAACTGGCCTCAGACTGCTTTTCCACGCGTGCTAGCAGTGCCTCCCCTAACCAACAAGCCCTCTCCTCATGTTGCAACAGTTCAGGGGATATATTAGGCACTTTGTCCCTTGCTTCTGGGGTTTTTCTCATCAAAAGGTGAAGGCCAAGGCAGGTAATCTGGTTTACTTTCTAGGGGAGAGGCTGTTCCTCCTTTTAAGAAAGCACACACGGAACACCCCTGTTCCTGCACAGGTGTGCTCCCATCTTTGCCTCCCCACATGGGGACGATATTCTCGTCTTTAGCCACGGGCCTTTTTCTGGGGGGCTCCTGGCCCTGACTTTTATCTGCTTCACATTTGAGGTGCAGCATCCACAGGCTAATTAATGCCTCTGTGCCAGGGTCAGCATGAGGACTATTACAGGGTGTTGGTTTTTAAAATTTTTCCTTAGTACTGTTGTTTTGTTGTCTTTAGCAATCTGTTTTCACAGTTCTGAATATTATTGTTTTGTGGACTGTAACAATCTGTTAGTGGATGAGCTGTACCGTGCATGAATGGATGGATGGATGGATGGATGGATGGAGGGAGGGAGGGAGGAAGGAAGGAAGGAACGAAGGAAGGAAGGAAGGAATGGAAGGAAGGAAGGGAAGGAAAGAAGGAAGGGAAGGGAAGGGAAGGGAAGGAAAGGAAAGGAAAGGAAAGGAAAGGAAAGGAAAGGAAAGGAAA